TAAACTTATTTGACCACAGAATTCCTTTTTCATGCCACCTCTCTTAACATCCCCCAGAACAGGTGTTATAGAAACCTTGATGTAGACCTTTCAGAGGGCTTAGCTTGGCAGGCTCTCCTGAACCCTGGGGTTATTTCAAGATTTGCACCAGGGATTTGTTTTAATCAGGTATGGTAAGGTGACAGACACAGAGACAACTGCCTTTGAAAAGAGAGTTTATTACTTATAGTTCCTGAGAGAAGGGGACATACGTCATCACACAGGGCCACATGGGGAAGCCCTCGAGTTGGTGAGGATGCAGAAGCAGCGAGGGGAAGGCATGGCCCGAGTCTTGCCTGTGGCTTCCACAGGAAGTTATGGGCAAGGCAGGATAGGCAAGCTTGAGCAAGCTTGGGATTGAATCGTGTAAATAATTCTCTGGGCTATGGAGGTTTGTCTCTAGTTGTTCGGTACCTGTCTTGGGGTGATTTAAGGCAGGGAAAATGTTGGCTTGATGTGTGAGAGTTGAATAAAAAAGGACATTGGGGATATGGGCTTTGGATTGGTTGGTTTATATATTAAATGCATGCTCCCAGGCAAGTTGTTTATTGTCTCTAGGAATTAGCTAACCCAGTCTCTCCCAGACTAGCAAGATCCCCAAGATGTCAAAGCATCAGAAAATTTTTAAAAACATGATTAATATTGGAGTTTTCCTCTTCCTCTCTGCTCCGGGCAGACACAGTCAGGCCCATCTGCCTGCCCTTCTTTGATGAGGAGCTTGCTCCAGCCACCTCACTCTGGGTCGTCGGATGGGGCTTTACAAAGCAGAATGGAGGTAAGTCCTGGGCTCAGGACCAAATGGTAGGAGATGCCCTTGTATGAGGGAGCAGCTTCCAGAGGTGATGGGAAGGAGTACCATCCTTCAGAAAAACCCACCTCGGAGGACCACACACCAAAGTGCCAGGCAAAAAGCAGTGTTTTGGCAACCCAGAGAATTAACATGGGCTGGAAGTAGAAGGCAAGAATGGAAATGTGTGTTTTCAACCTCCCAGGGAAGATGTCTGACACACTGCTGCAGGCGACAGTCCAGGTCATTGACAGCACACGATGCAATGCAGGCGATGCATACCAGGGGGAAGTCACCAAGGAGATGATCTGTGCAGGCCACCCGCATGGTGGCGTGGACACCTGCCAGGTGGGGCCTCCAAAGGATCATGGGGAGTTCTATGTAGGGANTGGATGTGGGTGGGTGGGTGGATGGATGGATAGATGCAGACAAGCAGAAAGATTTCAAATGTCTATTTCATACACAAATATAACATTGCTCATCTTTTCCACCCACTCTTACTTCTCATCACCTACAGGCTTATGAGCCCCTTGAGAGCAGGAACCCCAGGTCTGTTTTCTCTGTGACTTTTCCCAAGGTGCTGAACTACAAAAAAAAAAAAAAAAAAAAAAAAAGTCTCATGCTAGATGAGCCCTGGTTTCTGTCCCCTCCCCCAACCCCTACTGGCCACCAGGACTACTTAGCAATCCCTGTGTATATTCTCACACCCCCACACCTCCAGAGGGCCTTCTTAGCCATTTTCATTAAAACCCCTAACCCTGCTCCCATCCCCATTTTCAGTCAGATTCCTTCATTCAGGAGGCATCTCTTAGTCATCTCTCACATGCCATGAGCATGGTGGACTTTGGGGACAGTGTCTGCCCTCAGGGAGTGCACGGTGGTGGTGGTGGTGGGGATACATCAACAGTTAGGCTACAGTGGCATTGGGTTGGGAGGGAGAAAGCCCCAGGGGCTATAGAAGCTGGTAAGAAAGACACCCAAATAAGTGCACTTTTCACTATCTGACAATTTCTTGTTGTTTTGTTATTTGTTTATTGTCTCTCTCATCCCATTTGATTCTAAGCTCCGTTAGGGCAAAGATCTTTGTTTTTTTCATTAACTGAATTTCAATTGCCTGGAATAGTACCTGGCACAAAATAGGTACCATGAGAGGTTAAATAAACTAGGAACTACTAGGCTGAACAAAGACAACCAGGCTTTCCTACTGCAGGACACCTTGGAGCTGTCAGTTTGCTAGTGTGAGCTGCGAATCTCTGAGACAAGGCTAACAGCACGCCCACAACTTACTTGACCACAGATAAACCCTTTTGCCCCGATGGGCAGATCATTCCAGGGTACAGGAACAGCATGAGCTGAGGTGGTGAGGGGGGGACAGCAGAGAGCCCTGGGGACACAGGGGAACAGATGGGTCAGTTCAGGGAGGGGAGGAAGGAGGAACGCAACCCCTGGCCTGCACTCCCAGCAGCCCCTGTTCTGGCCTCTCTCAGGGTGACAGTGGTGGGCCCCTGATGTACCANCGGGGGCACCAAACCATCCCGAGGGTTGATGTAAAGGGCTCTGACAACCCTTTACATCCCAAATAATTTTCCCTCCCAGCCTGAGATTCCACCGTTAAGGCTGAAATTTCTTAGGTCAGCGATTCCTGTTAAACACAAATACCTTAGGGTATAGAACACGCTGAGCTTTATCATTCTCTGTTTCCTGACAGAATGAGCGATGGGCAGATCATTCCAGGGTACAGGAACAGCATGAGCTGAGGTGGTGAGGGGGGGACAGCAGAGAGCCCTGGGGACACAGGGGAACAGACGGGTCAGTTCAGGGAGGGGAGGAAGGAGGAACGCAACCCCTGGCCTGCCCTCCCAGCAGCCCCTGTTCTGGCCTCTCTCAGGGTGACAGTGGTGGGCCCCTGATGTACCAATCTGACCAGTGGCAGGTGGTGGGCATCGTGAGCTGGGGCTATGGCTGCGGGGGGCCGAGTACCCCAGGAGTGTACACCAAGGTCACAGCCTATCTCAACTGGATCTACACTCTCCGCAAGGTGAGAGGTTTGCCCCACCCATGGCGCCCTCCCTCCCTTCCTCTACCCGGGGGCACCAAACCATCCCGAGGGTTGATGTAAAGGGCTCTGACAACCCTTTACATCCCAGATAATTTTCCCTCCCAGCCTGAGATTCCACCGTTAAGGCTGAAATTTCTCAGGTCAGCGATTCCTGTTAAACACAAATACCTTAGGGTATAGAACATGCTGAGCTTTATCATTCTCTGTTTCCTGACAGAATGAGAATATCAGATCCTTTCAAGAGAGAAGATTCTGATAAGGAAGAGGGTAGAAAGGTTTATGAGACTTTTTGGACCCTAGAGGGTAGAGGGAGAAGCAAAGGAGGTCAGAAAAGGAAGGTTAATTTTGCACAGGTCACTGTTTTGTCCAGTTTCAAATCATCTGACTTTCTCTGTGTTGGTCTCTCTTTTTCTAGTCTGAGCTGTAATGCTGCTGCCCTTCTGCAGTGCTGGGAGCTGCGTCCCCCTGCCCTGTCCACCAGGGGATCTCCCAGAAGTCAGACACAGAGCAAGAGCCTCCGTGGGCCTGCCTCTTCACTCACAGCCTCAGCATTTCATGCTGCGTCCCCCTGCCCTGTCCACCAGGGGATCTCCCAGAAGTCAGACACAGAGCAAGAGCCGCCGTGGGCCTGCCTCTTCACTCACAGCCTCAGCATTTCACGGAGCAGCAAAGAACCTCCATTCCTGTAAGAGATCCCCACAGCCCTGAGGCACTCAGAGGAAGCCAGCAGCCCCAGCATCCCAGGGAGAGATGCAGCCCACTGAAGGAGCCAGCCTGCAGGCCAAGGTCTCAGAAAGCATTGCTAAACTGAGAAGGCACTTTCCCACTCTACTGAATAGAAGTAGACTCTCTTGTGAACACCCAGATCACCAAGGGCTGGAGTGGCTAGGGGGAAAGGGTCTGAGCCAGCCCTCCTTCTCCACCCATCCCCAAGCCCACTGGAGCAAGAAACCAGTGGTGACATAAAAAGTACTGTCCTCCCGTTGGCATGACTACTGTACCTACTGTTGTTATTATTGTTAACTCTGTGGCGGCTATTATTATTATTATTATTTTTTTTTTTTTTTTGAGATTTACTCATTATTGTATTTATCAGAAAGGTTATACTGGGATTCATGCATTATTCATTGTGGCGGCTATTATTAAACAAGTATGTGAAATCTTTGACATACACTGGCTGGGCTGCTTGATAAGAACTGAGCTAGGACTATTGAACCTTTATCCTTTGACCTGGGAAGGAAAAGGTCCTGAGGAGGCAGTTACTTCTCAAAGCAGGGGCAGAGAAAAAAGAGATGTGGAAATCAGATCCACTGAGTCAGGGCAACAGTGAGCTGCAGTCCGGGGAAGTCAGGGTGGGCAAGTCTCCTTCTCATGCAGGGCTGTCTGCCACTGGCCCCTGTCCCTCCCTCCCCACCTGGGATGTTAGCCATGAGCCAGGGATAGCCCAGGACTTGGGAGTGACATGATTTAGGCATTCAAGGGTGGCATTCAGTCAGGGCTCCCCCAGTGGCTGGAAAGAGACATTGCACCTCTGCGTCCTAACTTCTTCCACCTACAGAGCCCTCAATGTGGATTCTTTCATTCATCTAAAAATAAAGAAATAAAAAGTATCACCTGCCAGGTATGAGGCAGTCCCCAAGCTGGATTCTGCGGAGACAAGCATGAATAAGTATCTGCACTCAAAATGGTTGGAGAATTAAGCCCTGCGGACTTCTCTGGCAGATGTATGGAGGCTCAGGTTTTCTCAGGATCTTCTTGCTATAGTTGAGTCAGGTCCCAGATAAAATATACTTGTTTATGCCTTACAAGGTTGTTAGGAAATAATGTAAAGGCTCAAAAGCAATAAAATAAAATAGAACCAACAGAACTGTGAGCTGAAACTAAGGTAGTGATCTTGAGAGCAAAAAACTAAAATTTGGGGCAAAGATCTATATGAGGGTTGAGATCAGAACTAAACCTGGACCCACTGCAGGTAAAAGAGCTGAACCTGAGACCCTTACATGAAGCAGAAACAACTGAAGGTGGCAAATGTGGTCCCAGGTGACGGATCCTCTGGAGGAAAATATCCCAAATTTAGAGCCTCAAGATTCCCAGACAAAGATCCTACATCTATGAGCTCACAATCAAAGACTAGAAAAAATGTAAAAGAAAAAAAAAGCAAAAACAGGGCTGGCTGGTTAGCTCAGTTAGGGTGTGGTGTTGATAACACCAACGTCAAGGGTTTAGATCCCCATACTGGCCAGCTGCCAAAAAATAGCAAAAACACCATAAGAGAGAATCATCAATTAGAACCCCAAGGACTTCAGATGTCAGAATGAGCAGATAATTATAATAATAACTAATACTTATAGAGTGTTTCTACGTGCCAGACACTGATCTAAGTGCTTAATCATGTACTGCTTCATTTAACACTCACACAAACCTATGAGAGAGAGACTATTATTATCCTCATCTTACGGACAAGAAAACTAAGGCATAATGACGTTAAGCACCTTGCCTGAGGTTACATATGGGGAAGGTGAACGTGAGCTTTCTGAGTTCACTATAGGGCAAGATAATTTATGAAGTATTTAAATAAATAAATAATGGATACTATTTCTACATTTAAAAATTATTTTTAATTGTGGTAAAATACACATAACATAAAATTTACCATTAACCATTTTTAAGTGTACAGTTCAGTGGTATTATGCACATTCACATCAGCACCTCCATCTCCAGAGCTCTTTTCACCTGGTAAAACTGAAGCTCTGTACCTATTAAACACTAACTCCCCATCTCTCTGTCCCCCCAGCCCCTGGCAACCGCCCTTCTACTTTCTGTTTTCATGAATTTGACTACTCTAGGTACTTCATATAAGTGGAATCATACAGTATTTGTCTTTTTGCACCTGACTTATTTCACTTAGCATGGTGTCTTCATGGTTCATCCATGTTGGAGCATGTGTCAGAATTTCCTTCCTTTTTAAGGCTGAATAATATTCCATTGTTTATACCACGTTTTGCTTATCCACTTATCTGTTGTTAGACATTTGAGTTACTTCCATCTTTTGGCCATTGTGAATAATGCTGCTATGAACGTGTGTGTACAAGTATCTCTTTGAGACCCTGCTTTCAATTCTTTTTTTTTTTTTTTTTCCTTTTTGTCTTTTTTC